CAATGTATCATATTTTCTTCTTTGCCATTGCTGTGCTGAATGAAGAAGACAAGGAAGTGACTTCTTTGCACTTTCTTTTGATTAACATTTACTGAATTGGGAATGGAAGAATTTGATGGCCTGAACACACCACAGGAAGAAGACACCACCACCCATAGTGTACCCTAATCCCACAGCTTTCCTTAGCTAAATGATCACAATTTTTAATTGTAAACATTTAGTACTCCAACAGAGAACAACAGAGGACAAACAATGGTCTTACTCCACTTCTACCATCAAAGACTAGATAGTCTGAATTTCTTCCTTTGCCTTGAAATAACAAGACTCCCTGCCTTCCTGACAAGGCAGAGTATGAAAAGCTGAATGGGGATGGTGATTTTATCCCCACTGAGGAGAAATGGTGCCTCCTCACTGAGCTTGGATAACACACAGAAGAAAGGAATTAGTTCTGCTTCTCTCAGTCAGTCAGTCAGACTGTTAGCAGAGGAGGCACCAAGGGGAGCCAGAATTCTGACCACACCCAGCAAAAACAAGAAGGTCCTCTTCACTCCTAGGGTTGACAAAGCCTAAGTATGGAACCTGGATTTTCATTCTCATATGAAAATAAAAAGGTAATACCACCCTCTCTAAATGGCATCAACATAAGCCAGCTACAGACTATTGAAACAATATCCAGAATCTCATGACCCCCAGTTTTCATTGTCAATAGAAAAGCAGTTTAAAAACTTACAGAATCACCTTGAATGAGGAAAGACAATCAACAGACACCAGCCCTGAAATGATGGAGAATTTGGAATTGTTGGAAAAGAATTTTAGAATAGTTGTAGCTATGCCTCAACAAGGAATATACACATGCTTGAGGTAAAGAGCTGGCAAGTTTCACCAAATAAATAGAATTCCATACTAAAGAGATCAAAGCTATTAAAAATGGACCAAGTAGAAATTTTACAATTTGTAAGGATACAAAAGTTTGAAAGTATTTCAGGAATGGTAGGAGGGGAGATAAAGGAGAATAATGGAGGGGATGAACTCAAGTATATTTCATACTATGTAAGAACTTTGTAAATGCCACAATGTACCCCTGCCCAAAATTTTTTAAAAATTAAAAAAACTGAAAAAAAAAGAAACTCAATGGATAGGCTCAGGAAATGGTGGGGAAAGAGGAAAGAACAAATGAGCTTGAAGCCAGAACAACATGAATTATTCAACCTGAACACTTGAAGTGTACATAGACTGAAGAGAAAATGATCAGTGCTCCTGGGAAAAGACCTTGACTGTGTGCCACTGGATTTCTGGTAAGAAAGTCAAAAGAGAACAGAGGTAAAGTTATTCAAAGATAATGACCAAAGTTCTCAAATTTGGCAAAAACAAAAACAAAACAATAAACCTACACATTCAAGAAGCTGGAGGAACTCCACAGTATTAACTGAAGAAATTCACACTACAGTGCATCACAGTCAAACTGAAAACAGAGGCAAAGAGAAATCTCATATTAGTTAAGAGAAATAACACCTTACTTACTTACAGGGAAACAATCTGAGGATGCTATAGAAAGCATGAAACCAAGGCTGGGGTGTGGCTCACTGGAAGAACAACCCATGTCTAGCCTGTGCAATGCTGGTCTTGATCTTTAGCTCTCAAAGAAATAAAATCTGAAAGAATGAAATAACAATATTTTTCAAAGCCTTAAAGGAAAGAACCTACAGCTCTGAATGATATACATAAGGAAAATACCTTTCTCAAATTAAGAAGAAATAAAAATACCCTCTTATGAAAGAAATGTAATAGAATTTTTTGCTCAGAGAGCTATCCTAGAAGAATGGTCAAATAAAATTCTTTAAATAGAAAGAAAATGATAAAAGAGAGAATCAAAGACCATTAGGAAGAAAGAACAATGGAAAGAATAAAAAGTGTGCATAGCCAGCACATGTATAGTGTATTTTCTTTCTCTTCTCATGCTTTCCACATTTCTGTGCCACAAACTTAACATCTGTGTACTTAAGTGTATGATCTTCTCACATATCACTAATATTTTATAAAAAGATTGTCTACTTAAACCAAAAACGTGCAAAAGACACAAATTGACCATTTGCTAAAATGCTGGAATGATAACAATGAACTTAAACATACAAAAAGATGCCCCCCAAATTTTTCCCCTTTTTCTGAGGTAGTGTGTGTTGGGCCCAGGGCCTTGAGAATGTTGGGCAAGCACTCTTGTCACTTGAGCCACATCTCCAGTCCCTTTCTGTTTCTTTTTTTTTTTTCTGTTTTGTTTCGTCTAGATTCTCACTAACTTTGCCCAGCCTGGCCTCAAAGTCACAATCTCTTACCTAGGTCTCCTGAGTAGCTGGAATTCCTGACATGTACCACCATGCCAAGCTTCAACATTACTCTTGCTAAAAGAAAAACAAATAAGTTTCTAGAGCTATTATTTCTCACATTTAGATTGGTGAAATTGCACAAGCCTACCATCTTCCTATATTGGTAAGCAGTTATTGGTAAGGCTCTCCTGCAGATGCTACTGATGGGAGTAATCGTTCCCTTTGTGTTAGATAAGTCACCAATATCTAATTAACTGATCTACACATTTATGCCATTATACAATAGTCCCACCTCTGAGTGTTTATCCTATAAACATCTTCTGAAATGCAAAATAATATATGTAAAAGGTACAATTGTATGTACAATTGTAACATTGGTTATGATACAAAAACAATAGAAAAGCTTAAATATCAAAAAGTATATTTGCATAAACTAAATGCATCCACATATTAGAACATCATAGAGCTATAAAAAGAATGTATATGTTAACAAAGTGACAATCAGAATTTTCTGGATGAATTACAAAAAAAGAATATAAATAAATATTACCACTTTGTGCTAATGAAGTACAGGCACTGTGTGGATCCACACACCACACAGGTGTAATGTACTTATTGACTTTATTGCTAGTTTGTGATTCCTACTTCTACAACATTTATTGGCCTTAAGTCTTCATTTCCATTGTTTAATTGCACTTCAGTGATTTTTAATCCTTTTGGGGAAATTATTGGGTCTCCCATAAACTTTTCTCTTTTTCTAGAAAAACACAAAACTAAAATTTGGAAGAATATAATAAAACACACATGAAACCGCCAACAGAATTCAGAGGGTCAAAAACTTCAGACAACTAAAATTTCTGGGTTATCTTCTAAAAATCAATAATCCAAATGTTCATCTGAAATGTCTTTCTAAAAATAATAATGACAAGATTATTCCCACCTAGCCACTTCAATATCTTGTAGCTCATGGACAGAATGGGTCCCAAAGATGGTCAAATCCTAATTATTAACAGTTATGGATATGTTTACCTTACATGGAAAAGGAACTGTGTGAATGTGACTAAATTAAAGACCTTGAGGAGGGGAGATTGGGCTAGATTATTGTGTAATCAAGTACAACCGTAATAATCCCTCTAACAGGAAGGAGAAGTCACTGAAGAAATGTACCTATGGATGCAGAAGTCAGAGTGATGAGAACATGGGATGCAGGCAGCTCCCAGAAGCCAGAGAAGGTCAGGAGAGATTCCTTCTTGAGCATCCAGAGGAATGCAGTTCTGCCATGTGTCATATAGTTGATATTCTGGTCATGGGTGGTCTGTGTCAGCCTGAGCAGAAAACACACACAGATGAAGGTCTTGGAATCCTGCAATCAGCAAGTTACTAATGCAGAGAAGATACAGTGAGGTGTGCTGGGTCAGGGAGGACAGAGCAGGAGTTGCCTTGGGGATAAAGGAAATGGTGTCAGAGGGGTGCCATTTGGTGTAGGTCATGAAGGAGTTTTGCTGATCCAGAAAAGAGGGAAGAGGATCCCATGCATGGAATTAGGGTGATAATGTCAGCAGCCTCTGCACTGGAACACTTGTATGCCAGTCTAAGTCAGAACTTTGATCATGTCTTTAAATAATATGGGCAAAAAGGGTCTATCATTTTTAATCAGTTCTACATGATTTGCTAGCATGCTCTTCTAAAAAAGGCCACCTAGCAAAATCTTAAGAAAAAGAAATAACCCTGTCCTTATTTGTCAGTGCCCTGGGAAAGTTCTGCCTGCTGGATACCCAGCTCTGCCTGAGAGGAACATGCAGTATTCAGGACAGCAAGCAGACAACTGTAACTGAAGCAGAGTTGGGGAGAGAAGGAAGCAATGACATGCCAGACTTAGGAGCTCTGTGGAGGCCACATTGTGAGGAGGTTCACGGGGATGACAGAAGATGAAAAGGCAGGTGTAGGGAGGAGGATACTAAAATTGGAAATGAACATGTTAAGTTTGAGGTCACTGTCAAAAACCTAGAAAGAGAAATAAAGAGGGAGGGCCCGGGCTGTACAAAGCAGGAGTGGGCCCTGCACATAATGGCAGCACCGTGGCCTAGCGTCCATCTTTACTGCTCTCTTGGACCTGTCACAAAGGAGTTGCACTGCTGTCACTGTCCCCTCCCTCTGGTGGGCCTGGGAGCTAGAGAAAGTCAGTGCTGCTGCCCAACCGTGCTGCTTGGGGAAGTCCCCTGGACGTGGAGTGGGAGAGAGTCGGAGGGCTGGGGACGCCTGTGAGGGAGGGAAACTGCCACTAGAACCTGGGGCAGAGAGACCGGACTGGGGCCGAGGCAGGCTCCTGGAAGGGGCCTTGGAGGGGGTGGCATTGGGCAGAACCCAGGAAACAGCCAGGAGGTTTTCCATCATCCACCAAGGCCCATGCTGAAGGCACCTGAAGAGCTTCCTGGAAGAGGGTGCTCCCCTTTTTGGGGAAATCTTGCCTGGAGGAGGCTCTTGGGGTCACCCTTCTGAGGAGGCTGCAGCTAATGGAGCCCAGAACTCCCAGCAGATGACCAGCATTTCTCATAGCTGATAACATTGAAGATCAGCCCTGCAACTTTATTTGGCATTCTTTTATTAAAAATAAAGAGAATGCAAGCTCCTCAACTCCAGATTATGAAAACGTTACTCGGAAAACTGAAAACTATCTAAATGATTGTCTTTGGTTGAGCCATGTTCTTAGCAAGCAGAAGCCTTGGCCAGGGTCTGCTGTTGGCTCTTGAGGAGCACTTAGCCCACCTACTGGGGACTAGAGGTGCCACTTCTACCATGGGTAATTCCTGTATCTGTTGAGATGACAGTGGGGCAGAAGACAGTGTGGACACCAACCAGCAGCAGGCTGAGAACAGTGCAGTCCCCACTGCTGACTTGAGGACCCAACCCTGGGACCCTGTTCAGCCTCCAAGGAGGGGCTGAGGACCACATGAGCCAAGGAGAAAGAAACAAAATGTGGTTGGGCTAGTGCTGGACACAATGGCAGTAATACAGACTCTTGTAGATAATGATTGGGAGCCTACCTATTCAATGATTACATTAAATGAAATGGCAGAAACAGATGAAGGATGGTTGGATGTTGTCCAGTCTTTAATTAGAGTTATTCCATTGGAAGATCCATTGGGACCAGCTTTTATAATATTGTTACTAGATGAATGTCCATTGCCCACTAAAGATGCACTCCAGAAATTGACTGAAATTCTCAATTTAAATGGAGAAGTAGCTTGTCAGGTCTCAGGCCATCCTGCCAAACACAGTAACACATCTGCTGTCATAGGATGCTTGGCTGAGAAATTAGCAGGTCCTGCTGTTGGGGTCTGAGGTTGACCACCCCTCAGAGGAACAAAAGACACTCACAATAATGTAAGTCACAAAGCGAGGTTTATTTCCAGCTAGCTGGGGTCCAGGTATCCACCCGACACAGCGGGTTTCAACGAGGACCCCCAAATGCAAAGTTCAGGCTGCTTTTATATTTTTTAAACATTAGTCATGGTCACAGAGCAATCTTTATGGCCCCTGGGTTCACATATTTCTGATATCACCCACATGCTGCTAGTGGGGCAAGATTACTTGAAGATTTATCAGGAACTTGATAAACACTAGGTGTCTTAACTCATTGACTCACATACTGTTTAGCAAGATTAACCAGAAACAGTCCTTGTTCCCAGAAACCATCCCACCTCCCTTTGTTCCAGTAAGTGGCGGCTTGGGTCACGTTAGTCATGGTCTGTTTCATGCTGAGCAGGCTTCAAGCCTCAAAGGTACCCTAAGATTCCCCCCTTTAGTTGTTCATAATGAGGAATCATGCTCATCTAGGCAATGAATGTAAACATTCTCAGGGCTAGGTAACTTTTCATATTGCTGTCTCAGGACCATTAGTTGGACTGTACTAATTCGATCTTTCACGAAGGTCACTAGCTTATTCAGAATACAAGGACCAAAGGTTAAGATAAGCAGTAGTATGACCAGAGGGCCCACCAGAGTAAAGACCAAGGTAGTGAACTAGGGGGACCTATTGAACCAAGCTTCAAACCAATTTTCTTGGGTTTCCCTTTCCCATTTCCTTTTTGCCAGTCCTTTCCTTCACTTTAGCCATACAATCCCTAACTACCCCTGAATGGTCAGCATAAAAACAACATTCCTCCCCTGGGGCTGCACATAGTGCCCCCTGCTGGAGGAACAGTAAGTCTAGGCCCTATCAGTTCTGAAGCACTACCTCAGATAGAGAGGTAAGGGATTTTTCCAGGTGACTAATGGAGGTTCCTATCCTGTCTATATTCTCGTCTATGGCGGCATGCAGCGAGGACATCCCTTTATGTTGAGTAGCCAGAGAGGCTATGCCGGTTCCTGCCCCAGCCACTCCTAGGCTAAGTAGGGTAGCAAGGGTTAATGCAGAAATAGGCTCTCTCTTCTTTCTCTCACCTGTTCCTGTATTCCAGTATGAATATAGGCTCTCCTCAGAATGATAGATGATGCAGGGCAGCACAGTCACTAGGACACAGAATTCTTTAGAGCTGTTAAAGACATTAGTTGATAGGCAAGGGGTAAGCCTGGACTGTGAGCATACCCACCATCCATTGCCTTTTTGAATTACCCACTTAATACCATCGCCCCAGGTGGGATTGTTATCTATAGTAGCACATAGGTCCTGCTTTTCCACTGGCACCTTCCCTAAGCAGGTTCCTTGCTGCTCACTTGTTGTATGGTCAGACCTCTCTTACGGTCTCCCCAGGAACATTGAGTGGGGTTTTCACTAGTTGAGACATTGTAGGTGACATTTAGCCCTATTGCCTCATAGAATGGGGGCCTCACATCATAGCACAGCCAGCAGGAGGTAGTCATATTAGGGTTGGTGTGGTTCAATGTTAGGAATGCAGCATTTAGCAAATTCCAGAGGGGGTCTGTGGACCCAGTCATGGGACTGGGCTTCACCAAGGGAGGGCCAATACCTAATGGTCCTGGAGTTTTAATACTAGCCTTTGTGTGAAGCCAGGTAGGGACCGGGGTTTTGCGAGGTCAGAGAGGCGGCTCTACATAGGGCAGCTTGAGTACTTTGTTGGGGCCTACCATTTTGGATGGTGGCCCCATGGGCTCAACTTTTAATCTGATTACTATGGTCGAGCCAGAATGTCCACCATATTTATAAAACACAAGTACCCCCACCTTGCCTTGTATCCACCCAGGGGTGTCCTCTTTGCCACTGTCAGTGAAATTGACCTTGATTCTATCTGTATCTGTGGGCTGGCATTCATGGGTGGGTGACGGAATTCTGCGCCCCCAGGGTACCCCATTTACAAAGGCAAATTTGGCTAGGTCCGGTTTTGATATCCCTCACTTCCATTCACCATCGTTGGATGTGACACATGCCCATGACTTACAGAAGGAGTATTGTATCCCCCCACAGTCCTTGTTCTTTTTATGGCCGGGGCAAGCATAAAAACCATAATGTTGGGCTGACTCTGGGGCAGTAGACTTGTAGGCAGGATTGATGTCTCTAAAGCAGAATTGAAGCTCCGGCCACCAAGTTCCTATGGGGACAGTGCGAGTAGTCTCGTTAAGGGTGGTATGAGTCTCCCCATTGTTGAGTATCCAGGTTTGCTTATAGGGCTGGTGAGGGTTGGTTTCTGCGAGGCTCCTGCTCTGGGCATTGAGCAAGATCAGAGTGGCGAGCCAACCCATCCGTGGCTGCTCTTGAAGACTCTGTACGTTCCCTGGGTTAAAAAAGCTTCAGCTTCAATGGATTATCTGGGTGCCGCCATGCAGTGCACTCTCTAGAGTCTTTCTGTTCTTGCTGACTGGCTTGACACACGTGGGAGTGATGGACCCAAGGCCCGGTGCCATCAACCTTAAGAGCAGTGGGGGTAACCAGAATGAACAGGTAAGGACTTTTCCATCTTTCTTCCAGAGTGCGGGCTCTGTGCCTCTTTACCCATACCCAATCCCCTGGGACGATGCCATGTTCCGGGTTCGATGCATCCTTTGTCTCATACAAGGTGCGCATTATGGGCCAGATTTCATGTTGGAACTCCTGTAAGGCTTTTAAGCTGGCCAAGTAATTTGGGGCCATACTGGGGTCTTGGTCTGGTAGGGTTCGGACAACAATGGGGGGCAGAGCCCCGTATAGAATTTCAAAATGTGTCAATCCATGTACATAAGGTGAGTTTCGAACCCGGAAGACGGCATAGCGTAGGAGGGCCACCCTGTCTCTGCCAGTCTCGATGGCTAATTTAGATAAGGTCTCCTTCAGGGTCCGATTCATTCTTTCTACCTGCCCTGAGCTCTGGGGGTTATATTCACAATGTAGTTTCCAATTAGTCCCCACTGCCCAGGCCAGCCCTTGTAGGATGTTACTGATGAAAGCTGGACCGTTATCAGAGCCTAGAGTTTTGGGGATGCCATATCTGGGTATGATTTCCTCCAGCAAAACCTTAGCTACAACCTGGGCAGTCTCTTGTTTTGTAGGAAAGGCTTCCACCCAGCCTGAGAAGGTGTCTATCAGAACCAACAAATACTTATACCCATACCTTCCTGGCTTCACTTCAGTAAAATCAACTTCCCAGCTCTGTCTTGGTGCCCTCCCCTGTACCCGTGTACCTGTATGTAAGAGTCCCTTTTTGCTGGGTTTCATAGCCTGGCACTCGGCACATTGTTCCACAATCTTTTGAATCTGGGCTGTTTGGTGCGGGAACCGGAGAGGGGCTGACTCGAGGAGGGCGAGTAGTTTCTTCTTGCCTAAACGGTTGGCTCAATGTAAATTGGAGAGGAGAAACAGTCCTCACTTTTCAGGAAGGATCAGCCGCCCTTCAATATCATGATATCAGCCTTGTTGATTGGGCTCCAGGCATCAGTGATCTTGGATCCACTGTTTGTCTTCCAGGGTGTACTCGGGTTGCAGTGGCAAGCATGGAAGCTCAGGCATGGGTAAAGTCAGTGTGAGGATCGTGGAGGCCAAAACACTATTTTGGGCTGCTTTGTCTACACGCCGGTTCCCCATAGCTTCCAGAGTCTGGGCAGATTGGTGACCAGGAACATGTAGTACCGCAACAGCTTGGGGCTTCTGCACTGCAGTCAACAGTCTCTGGATCCCCGGGAGGTTACGTAGCTCCTTTCCTTCCACTGTAATGAAACCCCTTTCCTGGTAGATGGCGCCATGTACATGGACGGTGCTGAAAGCGTAACGGCAGCTCACTGTTGGGTAGGGCTGAGTCCTGGAGATCGGGGCACACTTGGGTGATTTCAGCTATGATCTCCTGACAGTCATGTAGAGGGACTTCCAGGTCCAGATTTGGAAGCAAGGTGGCCAGGTTCAGAGAGACTGGTTTGGAGAAGAGGATGCAGGGAGCATCCAGCAAGAGCTCTTGGTAATGAGTCAGTTGGGCATTGATCATCCATCTACCTGGAGGGTGCTTTAGGACTCCCTCTACTGCATGGGGGGTTACCACCTTCAGATGTTGCCCAAATGTGAGCTTATCTGAATCCTTTACCATTAGGGCAACTGCCACTATGATCCGCAGGCATGGGGGCCAGTCCACTGCAACTGGGTCTAACCTTTTGGATAGATAAGCAACTGGACGCTTCCAGGCCCCTAGGCACTGCATTAGTACCCCTTTTGCTATCCCCCTCCTTTTGTCTACAAACAGGGTGAAGGGCTTTAGAAGGTTTGGCAGGGCCAGGGCCGGGGCTCTCAGGAGGGTGGTCTTGAGCTCCTCAAAGGCCTTTTGTTGATCTGGCCCCCAGGCCCAAGGGGCCTTGCCTTAGTTGCCTCGTATAAGGGTTTTGCCAGTTCAGCATACCCCAATATCCACAGCTGGCAGTAGCCCACTGTCCCCAGGAACTCGTGGACCTCTGGAGCTGAGGTGGGGATGGGGAGTCTGAGAATAGTTTCTTTCATAGCATTCGTTAACCATCTGGTTCCCTCTTTTAGTTCATATCCCAGGTAGGTGACTGTTTGTCTACAAATTTGAGCCTTCTTTGCACTGGCCTGATAGCCCAACTTCCCCAGCTCCTGGAGGAGGTCTCCAGTGGTTTGCCGGCATCCAGCTTCAGATGCAGCTGCCAGAAGCAAGTCATCTACATACTGCAAAAGTGTGATGGAACTGTGGCTTCGGCTATATAAGTCCAGATCCTGATTAAGAGCCTCATTGAACAGAGTAGGGGAGTTTTTGAAACCTTGTGGAAGTCTAGTCCATGTTAGCTGTCCGGAGGTTCCCATATTTTCATCATGCCATTTGAAGGCAAAAATGTGTTGACTGTTGGGTGCCAGGGCTATGCTAAAAAAAGCATCTTTCAAGTCCAAAGTGGTATACCAAACATGGGAGGGGGACAAATGGCTCAGCAAGGTATAGGGGTTGGGGACCGTGGGGTGGATGTCCTCGACCCTCTTGTTTACTTCCCTTAAATCTTGGACTGGCCTATAGTCTTTTCCCCCGGGTTTCTTAACAGGGAGGAGTGGAGTGTTCCAAGCAGAATAGCAGGGCCGTAATATTCCGGCCTCCAAGAGACAGTTAATGTGAGGGGCAATTCCCCTCCATACCTCAGAAGACATGGGATACTGACGGATTTGGATGGGCTGAGCTGAAGCCTTGATTTCTACTATCACTGGGGCTCGATGTTCTGCTAGCCCCACACCTGCTATTTCTGCCCAAGCCTGGGGGTAGGTTTGAATCCAATAAGCCATTTCAGGGGACCACTCAATAGGTTTTGGGGGACGGTGCTGCAAGGAGAACAAGCGATGTTCATCCTCGAGAGACATGGTCAAAACTTGGAGGGGTTGTCCTTGTCCATCTGTCACTTTGATACCATCCGGATCAAAGTGAATGTGAGCCCTCACCTTAGTTAGCAGATCACATCCCAGAAGGGGTCAGGGCACTCAGGAATGACCAGAAAGGAATGGATCACCTGATGTCGGCCCAAATCCACCTGACGCTTGCTAGTCCATTGATATGCCTTGGACCCAGTGTCTCCCTGCACGAGACTAATTTTCTGGGACAGTGACTCAGTAGGTTTATTAAGGACTGAATATTGGGCCCCTGTGTCCACCATGCATCTCACGGGCTTCCCCTCCACATATATGGTTACCCAAGACTTGGGGAGGGGATCCGAGTCCTGTCCCCTCTAGTCACTGTCCATTCCTGCTAACAGGAACCGGGCGTCATTATTGGGCCTGCTATTTGGTCCCGGGCAACCCTGGAGTTTGGGACATTCCTTCTTCCAATGTCCATATTCCTTACAATAGGCACATTGTCCCTGGTCTAGCCTGGGTGTGGGTCCGGTCCATCCAGAACTCGGTCCGGCCAGACCCTGGACTCCTGCTAGCAATATCTTAGCTATCTCCTTTTGCTGTTTCTTGTTTTCCTTACTCTGGTGTTCCCTGTCCTTCTTCCAAATCCTTTCTTGTAGTTCCTGATTCTCCTTCCTGATTCTATCCTCTCATTCTTCTGGGGTTTCTTGGGTGTTAAAAACCCTTTTGACTACTTTCATCAGATCCCGGATAGTCATTTCCCCAAGTCTTCCTGCTTATATAGTTTCTTCCTGATATCTGGGGCAGCCCGATTTATGAAGGTCATTATCGCGGCTGACTGATTCACCTCTGCTAGTGGGTCTAGGGGGGTATACTGTCTGTATGCATCATAAAGACGCTCAAGGAACATGGACAGGCTTTCATTTTCCCCCTGCATTACTGCCTTTACCTTAGCCAAATTGGTAGGGCTGCAAGCTGCCACCTGGAGGCCTGCCATAAGAGTCTGGTGGTAGACCCAGAGATGCTCCGTACCTTCTGCATCCCCATAGTCCCAGTTGTGTCTGTTCAAAGGAAAACGATCATCAATCAGGTCGGCAGGGTGGTCGGTCGTCCATTGTTGCTGGGGACATTCTTTCTGGCTTCAGTGAGAATCCGCTCCTGTTCCTCGGTTGTGAATAGAGTCTTAAGGAGCTGCTGACAGTCATCCCATGTGGGACTGTGAGTATGCAAAATGGACTCGAACAGATCAGTCAGGCCTCTAGGGTCCTAAGAAAAAGAATTCTGGGCTTTCCAGTTGTACAGGTCACTACTTGAAAAAGGCCAATACTGATAGGTGCATCCCCCATTGGGACCAGCACCACTGAGGGCCCGCACTGGGAGGATGGGGGGCCCGGTGGAAGTGGAGGAGGGCTCCTCCTCTGGGGTTTCCTCTCACTGCCTATGGGGCCTGAGTCCCCTCGCCAGTCTGGAGACCGGGGCAGGGGGTGCAGATGGGGAGGCTGACGAGTGGGGAGGCTCAGGGGGGCCAGCTGCCTCTGGCTGGAGTAGCGCGGCAGAGGCATATGGTGGGGGATTTACTTCAAAATCTAAGTCTATCATGGATGGATGGAGAATCGGTTCTTCCTGTAGAATAGGCTTTTTAGGGGAAGTAATGGGAATGAGGGTGTTCCCCGACACGGCCAGTATCGTAGGCCAGTCTGCAGGTGACTCATGGATAAATGGCTGCACCTAGGAAGGAGGGTCCTCTACCAAAGTCTGCCACATAAGGATATAGGGATATTGATCAGGGTGGCCGTGAAGACTGGCTCTATTATTGACGTCTCGGACCTTCTTAATCATGTCCAAGGAGAAGGTACCTTGAGGAGGCCAGCCTACATTGAAGGTTGGCCATTCCGCTGAACAAAGGGTATTAAACTTACCTTTCTGAATTTCCACACCACAATTGTGTCCCTTAGCATGGATTTCTGAAAAATGACTCAGAAAGAGGGTCTTAGGAGTTACCTGAGTCTGTCCCGTGATGATCAGGAGAGAGGGACAGAGGAAACAACAAAGAACAAGAGAGACAATTCCAGCAGATAAACAAATTCACACTGGACTCTCTAACATGCACAAGTACCGGCAGGTCAACCAGACTACTCTCACAGGCGTAATTCCATTCACACCAGATTCAGGATCCTTACCCAAAGACTGCCCAAATGGTGTCCACTGAGGATGTCAGTGCGGTTCCTGACCATTGGGGATGTCTCCCACGACTTCCAATAGTGGATCCTCTAGGGCTGTAACCCCTTCCTTCCACTCAATGAGAATTCTCAACCAAATTCAGATGGGGACTCTAAGTCCCTCCAAATGGAGGTGGCCAATCCTCCTTCCTTGGTCTTTCTCAACTAAACCTCCATATCAGAGGCCGTTTGTTCCTCTGAGGGAGGGGCCAATATCTCGGTGGAACCTCCAGATGTTGGGGTCTGAGGTCGACCACCCCTCAGAGGAACAAAAGACACTCACGATAATGTAAGCCACAAAGCGAGGTTTATTTCCAGCTAGCTGGGGTCTGGGTATCCGCCCGATGCAGCGGGTTTCAACGAGGACCCCAAATGCAAAATTCAGGCTGCTTTTATATTTTTTAAACATTAGTCATGGTCACACAGCAATTTTTATGGTCCCTGGGTTCACATATTTCTGATATCACCCACATCCTGGTGGTGGGGCAAGATTACTTGAAGATTACTTATCAGGAACTTGATAAACACCAGGTGTCTTAACTCATTAACTCACATACTGTTTAGAAAGATTAACCAGAAACAGTCCCTGTTCCCAGAAACCATCCCACCCCTTTGTTCCAGTAAGTGGTGGCTTGGGTCATGTTAGTCATGGTCGGTTTCAGGCTGAGTGGGCTGCAAGCCTCAAAGGTACCCTAACATTGCAAGTATAGGTTTACTTAGCCCAGGAATACTGGAATATTTACTACAGTGTCTGAAGTTACAGTCCCACTCCACAGTTATGCTTTTTGCACTTATTGCACTGGAAAAGTTTGCACAGACAAGTGAAAACAAATTGACTATCTCTGAGTCCAGTATTAGTGACCAGCTTGTCACCTTGGAGTCCTGGGCTGATGATCCTGAAGCGTCAAGTTGGCTTCTGTGCCCAGTGGAGTTTAGACAATCTTTTTTTAAAAGAAGGTAGACAACTGACCTATGAGAAAGTAGACTTGAGTAGCATAAGGGCCATGCTGAACAGCAATGATGTCAGTGAGTACCTGAAGATCTCATCTCATGGCTTGGAGGCTCATTGTGATGCCTCCTCTCTTGAAAGTGTGCACTGCACTTTTTGTGTGGATCCTGGGGTATGGTACTATGAAGTAACAGTGGTCACTTCTGGTGTCATACAGATTGGCTGGGCCACTAGAGACAGCAAGTTTCTCAATCACGAAGGTTATGGCATTGGGGATGATGAATACTCCTGTGCATATGATGGCTGCCAGCAGGTGATTTGGTACAATGCCAGAAGTAAGCCTCACGCACACCCATGCTGGAAAAAGGAGACACAGTTGGGTTTCTGTTAGACTTGAATGAAAAGCAAATGATCTTTTTTTTAAATGGCAACCAGCTGCCCCCTGAGAAGCAAGTCTTTTCATCTACTGTATCTGGATTTTTTGCTGCAACTAGTTTCATGTCATATCAACAATGTGAGTTCAATTCTGGAGCAAAACCATTCAAATATCCACCATCTATGAAATTTAGCACTTTTAATGACTATGCCTTCCTAACAGCTGAAGAAAAAATCATTTTGCTGAGGCACAGATGTCTTGCTCTGTTGAAGCAAGTCAATATCCGAGAGAACTGCTGTTCCCTTTGTTGTGATGAGGTAGCAGACACACAGTTGAAGCCATGTGGACACAGTGACCTGTGCATGGATTGAGCTTGCAACTGGAGACCTGCCCATTGTGTCATAAAGAAATAGTGTCTACAGTCAGACAGATTTCTCATATTTCATGACACATATGAAGAGGCATCATGGACTCATTTCTACTCAATTCCAGCCAATGACAAAAAGAAAAAGAAAAAAACCCATCTCTAATCAGTTGTATGCACATTGAAACTTAGAGCCATGGCCAGATTTTATGCTACAAATGGTAGTTGGTCAAAGACAAAATTCTCTTAGAATCTAATCCAACTTGCCAGCCCTGAATTCCTTTTAAGGCCAAGGAAAGCTGAATGTGAGCAGCCAGACCTGTGGTACTTCCATGAAAACAGTAGGCAACAGAGCCCTACTGAGTGCCAAATCCACCCCGGATTCTCCATGTTGGGTTCATGTGATTGTTTAGCACAGGACGATTTGTGTCATAGTCTATAAAGTTTTTTATTTTGGGGAGAAGTCATTTTGGAGACATAAATAACAGCATTTCTGGGTTAAGCATCACTGATCAGACAGACACCAGTGTGATAAGCATAGATATTGCACTCCAAGACTTGAATCTGTAAAGTAGACCACACAGGTCACCACCGCAAGCAGCATGGAGGACCTGAAAGAAGGTGCACAGACTGTAGAAAAAACACACATTTTTATATTTCAGTGATTCCAAAGAACATTCTAAGTTTTTTAACTGCAGAAAATTGGTGGTATTTTCACATTCATGGTGTTTCTATCCAGTTTTAGTACCTACATTTTGTGAGGAAAGAAATGTTTTACCAATGCGGGAGGAATTCTTAAATCAATTGTAAGGTTAGACTGGAGAAAATTTGGTCTTTAGAGTATTTTTAAGGTATCATCAAATCAGGTGTTTGTTTTTTGTTTAAAAAAATTTTTAATCAGTATTGTTTTTGGAAGTAAAATACTTTGAAACTCTTGAACTAATAGTCTAAAAACTCTAGAGGTCAGTCTGAGAACACGTATTCCTGTTGTTTTAAATAAATACATGTTTTTGAATAGTAAATTTAAAAAAAGAGAGAAATAAAGAAAGTCGTGAATTGAGCATATGTGTGGACCAGATTTATGGATGAAGCCCAAATTTTCTTCCATGAAGCACTGAAAATGAAGGCAATTAATAATTAAAACCAGGGGAGCTTTGCTACAATTCTTCATCTTAATCATATTCCAAAGAAGAGGGTTCAGAAAGACAAGCTACTGGCAGGGGTAGATGGTTGACCTTGCTCTTAAAAACTGCATGGTACACTGATGTTTGGTAACTTAGTGATGAAAATTCAAGAGCAGCTCTGGGTCCTAATGCAATTCTCTGAGCAAACCCTGTGATGCTCGTGGTGGGTACAGAAGCTGGACCAGATCCACTGGGTTGATAATTAAGAGCAGAAGTTTTTAATTACTTTCTCCTCTTGTGAGAGGAAAAGAATAATTACATAGCCAAGTCAAAGCAGAAGCTCACAAAGTGTTTCTGATTATAAATAAGAGTCCTGGAGTAATTTGTACTTTACCTCTTGAAAATATCAGGTGAAGTATTCATGCTGTGTGAAATAATTGCTTCAGACCTGCAGTAATTGTGCAGCTTACTTCAAACACTGAAGTACCAAAAATGTAATAATTAGCTACCAGGTACAGGTGTGTACTTAGCTTTGGTATTAATATATCTAAGTCACTGTCCTCAAATACCTCACACCTTATTGTTGTGTAATTTTTCTGAGAGCCAATAATTACAGTGGTTAATGTTTTAATAATTATTTTATTTCATTTTATATTTCTCTTTTTACTATTCAGACTGATGGAGTTTGGACCACAGGTTTTTGCTATCAGGAAAAAACAAAACAAAACAAAAAATCCCTTAATGTTTATCTTCTGGTGATTTAAAAAAGTTACCTGGGACTCTCAGGTCAGATGAGATGAGTCAGTTATGTGACAGTATTGAGGACTTGTGTTCTATGCTTAGGAAACAGAGTGCTGAAAGGCCATTTATTACAAATGAGGCTGGCCTTTTGGAAGACTAGAATAACAAAGTGTGGCCAGATGGGAGTGCGTAGTATAGATCTGGCAGGTGTTGAGATTGAGCTACAGTGCAGATAAAGGAGGTTGATAGTGTGGTCCATGGCTTGTGAAAGTGGCACAAATCATCCCCCTCTGCACCACGGCTACTTTGCAATGTGACTTTTCAGAACTTCTAAAGAAGTGGAGCCTATTTCTTATTCCTTGAATCAGGTCTGGCTTTGTTACTTACTTTGGGCAAAGAAATGGAAACACATTTGTAACACCTCCAAATCTAGCTTTGCTCTACTGTCCCTGGTTGGATACCAAGTGAACAAGTATGGCTATCCTGCTACAAGATGAAGTCCATGTGGAGGAACACTGGATGGTTCCCATGTTTCACTCAGTGGGCTTTGGGTGGAAACAGTATATCAGTCTAGCCTCACTTACTATAACAACATACCTCTCTGTGTAGTTATGTATGGTGAGGAAGGCTGTGCATGTAGAGTCAGAGGGGAACTCTATGTTCTTCCTAGTCACTCTTCCTGTGAATCTAAAACTGCTTTAAGTCTGGTGGAGAGGCTCAAGGGAGAAAAGCACCTCCCTAGCAAGACTGAAGCCCTGAGTTAAAACTCTACTTGTGCCAAAAAATAAAAGCCACTCAAACTGCTTTAAAAAAATAAAGTCTACTTTTCAAGTCACATATGATTAAGTCTGTCTTATATTAAATGAATATTAACAATTCATAACCTATTTTCTCTACTTTATTGATATTTTAAAATGTCATTTAATCATAAAATTTGCACAAATATTAGAATTATGATTTATATTTTAAAGAGACAGTGTGAAAGTCCTTTTCATAGGAAAAAAAGTCCATAAAATCCCATTTTGATCTTATTGAATCTCCCTTCAAAGAAAATATAAACTGAGTCAATTCCAAAGGAGTTCATTAATCTCAGCTACTTAATCCAAATAATGTATTATAAATATGCCAATAAGGAGAATTTATTCTGCTTTTCAGATGTCCTTTTTGGTAAAGAAATATCTGATGTATTGCACTCCTTGAATTTTCTCAGTTTCTTTTGTCTGGGGGATGAAGTATGATGCCAAACTGTAAAGATCTGCAAATGATTTCTTGGAATGTCTTTTGAGTTTAAGGAACAATTTGAAGAAAAATAATATTCAAATCATTGAGTATTCCCCTTTATCACTACAAGCTCTATCTAACTCTATATACATACAAAGACATCATTATTAACTTTCATTATATATTGGAAAGTATTTTATAAACAACCTGAAAGTTTATTTTCTAGCATTATTCTTATCAAAAACATGTGAGCCCATCATTATTTTTCTTTTCATATTGTAAAATAATTTGACAAAAACAGAGAATATGTGATCAGAAATAGTTATAAATATTAGTCTTTCATTATTTTGTGTTTTAATTAAATATGATATATTACATTGGTTTGTTCTCTCTTTTCTTACTTTTCAGTTCTGCTCTCCTTCATTATAAGAAGTGGTCACTCTTTTGTTCTTGCTTTTATTGGTTTTCTGTTTTAGTGGGACTGGAGTTTGAACTCAGGGCTTCAGGTTTGCAAAGCAAGTGCTATAAGTAGTGGTCACTTTTTGAGGTTGAACAAATTTACCAGTAATTTGTTTTTCCTAGGCAGAAAAAGTAAACTCTGTAAGTAAAAATAAGAATTTTCCTTTCCTCTTTTCCATTGTTGTAACTTAGGAAATAAAAGCTGCTAGAATGTCGAGAAACACTGAAACAATACAAACATGGCTACCTCGGATAAGAGAGCCAGAGAAAAACAACAGGCATAGCTGACCAACCCCAATGACCTTCCTGCTAATGTCTGGCAGCTCCCCCATCCCCCCTTCCCAACCACTTTAGCTAATGCCCATCTTACTCCAACTTCCCTTTACCTGCCACAGGATGTTGAAAATCCCAATCTATAAGAAAGGCATGCTCTTTCCCTCTCAGAGTGTTACTCTGATGACCAAGAGCCCCTCTCAGGTCTCCTCTTCCTAATAAAGACCTGCTGCTTGTGAAGGTCACAGATTCTTTCTCAGTGTGTCTCTCTTTTCAGCATCTTCACTTTCCTTTCAAAAGCCATTTTGAAAGAGAGAACAAAAATCCTATTCTGAGATTTTAGAGCCTTATTAACAGGCAGAAGATTGCCATATAGACATCTTATCAGAAATAAATCTGCCAGAGGGAACAATTTTCCAGAACCAAAAACACAAGTGGCCACTTTGGTCTTTTGATGTGGATATTCTAATGGATTTACAAACTTTCCAACCACTTTGACTCCTATGAGTTCCCAGCATCTGGACCTGCCTCAATCCTGTATATCCCCCAGAGGATCCTAAGGGGAAAATTTCCTCTTTGTCATTTGTTGCAATCTCTGGTAATTGCTATAGGATGCATTTATAGTTTTGTAATGTAACTAAGCAAACTTAGCATGATCTCTGAGTAATGTCTTTATTAGATAATTTAAAATAATTAAGTGACTATTGCCTTCAGCATTAATAGAAAAATGCTGGAATGGGATAAACAACTATCAATGACATTGAGACAGGCTAGAATTGCAGAAAGTTGGGGACTGAGACCCTCCCTGACATACCTTAAGAGCTCCATTGTAATTACAATCAGTTAGAAAGAATTGGAACTTCCTCCCACATGGGTGGAGCACCTGAGAATTAACATAGGTGTATTAAGGGAGTTCACCCAGCTCCTCTTCTGGGCTCAAAGGTCAAGGGAGCCTGGCAATAACACACCCTCTCCTGGCTCAGAAACCACCTATGGTGAACACATATAAGAATGTATTGATTAACTGTATTGTGTTAAAGTATGGAAAATTGTTGTAATAAGAATTATTAGCTAGTGTGTGTTAGGACCAAGAAACCAGATCAGAGAATGATAGACCAATATGCAAATAAGCCAATCTTAAGGTGATGAAGCTAATAACACCAACTATGAGGTCACCACCAAACATAAAATCCTGAGTCTGGCTACCACTCATCACTTGCCTCCTGAATTCTGAAGACCGCGCTGTCAAAGCCCATCCTGAAGCTC